TTCACATCGTGAACTGCCTCAAGATCATCGATAGAGCCTGGGATGGGGTCACCAAGAGAACCCTAAATTCTGCTTGGAGAAAGCTGTAGCCTGATGCGTTTTTGGACATGGATTAGAGGGGCCTGCTTATGAACAGGAGTCACCAGTTGTCGATGAAATTGTGTCCTTGGGGAAGACCATGGGACTGGATGTGAATGAGGACGACATTCAAGAGCTGGTGGAGGAACATGGCCAGGAGCTGACCACTGACGAACTGATGCATCTGCATTGCGAGCAACAGCAAGAGGTTATGGAGGAGATCTCGTCTGCAGAGGAGGATGAGAATAAAAGGGACAGGAATCCCTCACTTCAAATAAGATTAGGGAGATGTGTAAAATGTGGGAAACAGTGAACAATTTTGTAGAAAAGCACCACCCGAATAAGGCTGTAGCTGTTTAACGACAATGCAATGTCACATTTCCGCGAAATCTTCAAAAGGAGGCAAAAGCAAGTGTCATTGGATAGATTCCTTGTCAAGGTTTCACGAAATGAAAAAGATTCCATTGAGCCAAGAGATAGCAGCGATTCCGCTAGGGATAGTGAAAGTCGTCCTACACAATAATTCTCCTCTCTCTCGTCTCCCTCACACCAGCCACAAAAGGTACCTGTAATTGGTTTATTTTTCTTTATATTTTGTACAGTATTATATTACAGTACAGTATGGTAATCATTTTTATATGTATATGTTTGGGTTGTGGAACCAATCATCTGAATTTCCATTATTTCCTATGGGGAAATTCGCTTTGATATACAACCGCTTTGGATTACAAGCATGCTTCCGGAATGAATTATGCTCTTAAACCAAGGTATTACTGTATATGATATTACGCATGTTGGTTTTAAGTTTATATTACCCATACCTTATTCCATTCCACCTTTGTAAAAAGGTATGTTACAACGATTTCATCATAGTCTTACCTGTTTGTCATTTACAGCATGCTTTTCAATTTCTTTTTTGGCTTGAACTAGTTTGATCTGCAATGAAAAAAAAAAAAAAAACACAAGGCAAATCAACATCCACAAAAAGGCCATCAGCCAGACATGTCTATGTTCTGAAGAAGATCTTTAGTTCACAGGCAAGAGGTCAGTACAGTTCAAAAAACAAATTTGATAATACAGGTTGAAGTCCAGCACCATGCACAGTCATCTATTTTTCAGGTTATATTTGACCTTTCCTCTGAAGCAAACTCCATAAAACACAAGTATATCTTGGGAAAACTAAATTGAAACACAGTTGCAAAACTAAAACTGCAAGGCAATGAGGCAGAGTTACTAAAAGAATTAAGAATCTCCACACCATAAATTGTGTACATGTTCCCTTTAATTATCCGATCACAAGAAAAACAAATTCCCGTTTCATTTGCACATGATCGTATAATTGTAATGAATATTAACACAATTTATTCTGTGAAGAAACTCTTATAGTAAATCAGCCCAAATGTCACACATACTCATCAAGATACAGGTCAGACCATCATCAGATTGACGTTCTTGCAGCATGAAGTGAAATGGGTGCGCTGGACGTCCTGGTCACCATGGCTGCAGCAGCCGGCACCAGATGTTCCAGCGCACCAATCACTATTTTCACAACCCCAAAGACCACCAGGGACTGGGGTTACTGTTGGAACATACAAGGACACCCGCACCAATCAAGGGACTGTACAATAGATTGGGCACAAAAAAACTGTAGAACCAGCACACGATAATCTTCAAATTAAATTAAATCTGATAATACATCAAGCTTTATTCCACATGCATTTATACAAAAGACAACTGCTGATGTGTTTCTGCCTTACTCATAGCTGGAGAATAGATTGGGCAGTTTGAGAGATACATCATTCATCTGTTTATGTTCTTTTGACAAGTACTCTGGCAGGTATCTGATGTCATTATTATGAGGTCAGGGGTGGTGTTTTTGTTTTTCAAAACTTGTTCACTTGTTAAATCATACTAAGCATACTAAGCACAACAGGTTATTAACACTTCACATGACAAAGGTACACCCCCTGCCTGGTTCCGAAATGCTGCCATTTGACTTCATGCTGCAAGGACGTAAAACAAAATTAAAAATAAATATTTTTCAAGCTAAAAGTGCGGACAACATATCTCACTAGTATGCCATGGTGCCATCCACTAGCGGTTCCAGCACCCAACTGAAAGGGGTATATCGGCATGGTGTGCGAAGGAGATATTACCACGATGGGATGACTAAAAGTCCCATTTTCCACAGAGGGATTTACAGATGTCAATGGAATAAAAGTATGACATCACCGCACTTGTAGTCCATTGTTTATCTCCTCCAGCCCTATAACAGAAGGTCTGTACAAATCTGGGGTAATTTGTAAACAATGGACTACAAGTGCAGGAGCCTGTGCATCGTTTACAAGTTACCCCAGATTTGTATAGAGTTACAGACCTTCTGTTATAGGACATAAAACAATGGACTACAAGTGCAGGAGCCTGTGCATTGTTTACAAGTTACCCCAGATTTGTATAGAGTTACAGACCTTCTGTTTTAGGACATAAAACAATGGACTACAAGTGCAGGAACCTGTGCATTGCACCTGCATTACACTGTGGTTGCAATGCAAAAACATTTTTTTTAAAAAGCACATTTTATTTTTATTTATGTGGGTGCCTATGATACATTTTTGCAAAAGGTGAACTATGCTTTTAAAGTAGAACATTTTTTTAATGTAGTTATTGGTAGAGTATGGAATAGTTAAAACTGGAGTCATATTCTTTTTTTTGTGGTTTGTGTGCAATTGAGATTTTTATTCACCAACTGTACCAGAAACAATAGAAGCAAATACTCAGACAGCAGTCACCTGGACAGGTGTCCCCATTGGAAGATTTACCTCTTTATTCCTGTTCCAGTGGCAGGCATAAAACTTTGGATTTTCCATCACTTTCTATCCCAATAACAATGGCCACCAGGACAAACAAATCAAGGTACCTCTCCCCAGTGGGCAGACAAGACATCAATAAATCCTAAACAAAATGTTAAACAGTTCCACACAAACCAAAACTGGTTGGTTTTAGATACATCTACTATATAATCTACTGGATATATTTGACTACATTATTTTGTCAATATTGATTCTCCCTTCACTGCGATTTACATTATTCATTAGCAAAACATACACAATTCCTGCAAAAACCTGACTAATTACAAAATTTGGAATAATGACAGTTATTTTACCTCATCACGTGCTACCAAAGTAATAAAAGCACCCTGTTTAAAGCATTCAATGGCAACACATTTTCCGATACCACTGGAACCTCCGGTCACCTAACAGAAAAAAAAAGAGTTTGTTAGTTAAACATGAATTGGTAAGACAATACAGTTTATTGTGGGTGCGGTGTGGTGTGGGTCACACGATATTTTGTTCAGGAATTAATGCAGTTTGCCGAACGAAAACATCATTTCATTTGATCGAGAAACATTTTCCAACATGTTCCTTTTGAACTCTTGTCACTGCGGTCGAAAGTGATAATCAATTTTCACACCAATCAATCATTAGAAAGATGGACCACCGTTTTCACACAGAGCAAGAGAACCACTATGTAGCATGCTGGCAGAGGGCAGGCTTTTCCATTAAGGCTGTGGCTTCCTTGTATCGAAAACAAACTAAGACATTGAACACCTTTTGTTTTGATGCACTTGGAATGTATTTAGCTCATTTAAACGGAAAGTTCAATTGGACTTATGTCCAAGACTTATGTCCCATGTACACACCTCTGCTAACAAGAATACATGCATTTTCAATATTAATTTTCACATGTTGTAATGCATTTTACTACACTTTGCATATGTATTCCATAGGTGGGGGTACATCTTACCTCTTGGGTGAAGCAGTACATGTTTACATGCATGTAAAATACAAAAAGGGGTATATTTAGCAATAGAGCTGCATTGACTTCCAAGCTGTCGCCGCACAGGAATGTGCGTTTAAAAAAACAAAAAAAAAACAAGTGTTAGAGTCTCTGTAACGGAGCACTTAAAATTGCTGCCATAGTGCAAACTATTAGTGAATGACTGCCCCCATTTAAAAAAATGAGTCAAATGTGCTGCAAGATAGATTGCGGCAGAAAATAGCATCAGATGTTGCAGAAGCAAGAAATGGTGCAGACCAGTTTTTAAGATGGTGCACCTTTATGTAAATCGTGTGGAGAGAGGGGAGCACGAATAAAAAGGACATTCCGAAGCAGAACGGTGTGCGGACAACATATCTTCTAGAGCAGTGGTTCTCAACCTGGGGGTCGGGACCCCTTCGGGGGGGTCGAATGACGATTTGCCAGGGGTCGCCTAGCGGCTTCCGGCCACCCAGGAGAGAAGCGCTTTCTCTGCTCCTTTTTTTTTTTTTTTTAAGAACCACTGTTCTAGAGCCTTAAAGAAAAATGCCCATTTCCTTGCTCCATGATTCCCCCAACTCATTTCCATACCCCCTCGTGGTGCTTCAGTGAAGCGGCAGCCCTTGCTTTGATCTTTGGCTGCAGAAAGCAGGAAATCATTGTCCCCGTCCTGCACCAGATCTCCAGTAGCTTACAACCAGCAGATCAAAGCCCAGCCAATTACATCTCTAGCTGCACACTTGATCAGCTTAAATAAATACTGCACAGCCAGCATGGTGTAGTAGCTTTTAAGTTGTACTGTATAACTCATCCACAATTGGAAATCTTGTACATTGGACATATCTGCATTGGGGTCTGACTCCTATACTCAGTCACTCGGACCCACCACCGATGGGGTCAGGCAGGGTAGAGTTGTCAGCTCTGGGTTCCGAAACTCATTTGATTAAACTTTTTCGTGTTTGGTCGGCTAATGGGGAGAGAAGCCTCCAGCGGTAGGAAAACACAGGCAGTGCAACCAAACAGAACAACCAATGCCATTCATCTGCTCTCTCCTCCATGGGGCTGCTGAAGGTAAAAACCCTGGCTGGCTGTGCAAACTGTCACTTTGCTTACTGTACTATACAGCTTTTCTTAGCGGCAGATTCCTTGAAGTCATCAACCACTAAAATATAGTAAGTCAGTCACACTTAAATCTCGAGTTGTGAACGTTTACTGCATGCAAGAGATGTGACCAGGATGATAAATGCCCCCCTATACTGTATATAATACAAAAATTTAATTG